TCATGACTCCCGATTTTATTATGCCCAATTAACCAGTGCATAGCAGAATACTGCAGAAAAACTAATTGTGTGACAAACTAGGCTATCAGCACGGAGAGAGAAATGGGGTTTAACGTCGACTCGACACAAACCCAATTTACCAGGCAAACACGGTGATGACGTGCGTTAAGTTTATTGACTGACTCGTCGAGTTTGAGCTATAGCTTATACACTGGCGGTAAACAACAAATCAAATATGTTATTAATGTACATACGGGATTGTCATAAAGTGATACATGCATTCAACATATGTGCATGAAAAATGGAAATGGTGGCAAAGCAATTATTTATAGGACAATATCATAAGTAATGCATGCAGCTTGCAACATGTGTGCTATGTAAGGTAATTAAAAAGCGTAATAGACACTCGAAAACATATAATTCATTTTCTTTGTAACAGTACACGTAATCAGAGAGAGAGATAGAGAGAGAGAGAAGATGGGTTTAACGCCCATTCGACACAAACTAGGTTATTTCGGGACTAACATATGGTTCAATTTTATTTCAATAATTCGCTTGCGCGTAGGGGTCTATTGCGTTGGGAGGAAACCAGGGACCCAGAGAAAACACAGAGGTTGGATAGGCGACCCTACTCTTCTTGTCACGTACCACCGGGGAATCGAAACCACGCCATTTGACCCAAATGCCAGGTTATTTCGGGACTAACATGTGGTTCAATTTTATTTCAATAATTCGCTTGCCTGTAGGGGCCTTTAGCAGTGGGAGGAAACCAGAGGATTCGGAGAATACCCCGAGTGTGTACAGGCGACCCTAATCCTTGTCAGGTGCAACCGGGGAATTGAAACCACGCCAGTTGACTCAATGACAGGTTATTTCGGGACTAACATGTGGTTCAATTTTATTTCCATAATACGCTTGCGCGAAGGGGTCTTTAGAAGTGGGAGGAAACCGGAGGACCCGGAGAAAACCCACGATTATGGACAGGCGACCCTACTCCTTGTCAGGTACAACCGGGAAATCGAAACCCCGCCAGTTAGCTAAATGAAAGACCTTATAAAACAACGCGCACGCGCTAACCTACCGGCCATTCAACACCCCTACAGGTAATTAATTTGACAGTATTTATAGAGTAGGTTGATCTGGAAATATGACGACGAAATGAACTTTTCAATAGAATTCAAAGAAAAAAACCCCCGAAGATCAGAAAGGCCATATTCACAGTGCTTATCTATTGCAAACCGCCCCTTTGCTTTGGCTGCTTTAGTACATAATATGCTCTACGTAACTTGATTTCAAACACACAGGTAAGTTTATAATAACCAAAGTTAAGTAGTTTGATCATAATCGAAGAAATCCGTTTAAAATTTACGATGGTTCAGACAGTAACTGCGTAACAATACCAAACAGAGCTCCAAATTGGACAAAATATGTTTACATAACGTGGGGGGTTGGATGGCTGAATGGTTAACGTGCGCGCGCTGTATCATAAAGTCTGTTATTGAGTCGACTGGCGTGGTTTCGAATTCCCGGTTGTACGTGATAAGGAGTAGGGTCGCCTGTCCAACCTCGTGGGTTTTCTTCGGGTCCTCCCACTGCTAAAGACCCCTACGCGCAAGCGAATAATTGAAATAAAATTAAACCATATGTTAGTCCCGAAATGACCTAGTTTGTTGTGAGTGGACGTTAAATCCCATTTCTCTCTCTCTTTACATAACGTTACGTCATGACTCCCGATTTTATTATGCCCAATTAACCAGTGCATAGCAGAATACTGCAGAAAAACTAATTGTGTGACAAACTAGGCTATCAGCACGGAGAGAGAAATGGGGTTTAACGTCGACTCGACACAAACCCAATTTACCAGGCAAACACGGTGATGACGTGCGTTAAGTTTATTGACTGACTCGTCGAGTTTGAGCTATAGCTTATACACTGGCGGTAAACAACAAATCAAATATGTTATTAATGTACATACGGGATTGTCATAAAGTGATACATGCATTCAACATATGTGCATGAAAAATGGAAATGGTGGCAAAGCAATTATTTATAGGACAATATCATAAGTAATGCATGCAGCTTGCAACATGTGTGCTATGTAAGGTAATTAAAAAGCGTAATAGACACTCGAAAACATATAATTCATTTTCTTTGTAACAGTACACGTAATCAGAGAGAGAGATAGAGAGAGAGAGAAGATGGGTTTAACGCCCATTCGACACAAACTAGGTTATTTCGGGACTAACATATGGTTCAATTTTATTTCAATAATTCGCTTGCGCGTAGGGGTCTATTGCGTTGGGAGGAAACCAGGGACCCAGAGAAAACACAGAGGTTGGATAGGCGACCCTACTCTTCTTGTCACGTACCACCGGGGAATCGAAACCACGCCATTTGACCCAAATGCCAGGTTATTTCGGGACTAACATGTGGTTCAATTTTATTTCAATAATTCGCTTGCCTGTAGGGGCCTTTAGCAGTGGGAGGAAACCAGAGGATTCGGAGAATACCCCGAGTGTGTACAGGCGACCCTAATCCTTGTCAGGTGCAACCGGGGAATTGAAACCACGCCAGTTGACTCAATGACAGGTTATTTCGGGACTAACATGTGGTTCAATTTTATTTCCATAATACGCTTGCGCGAAGGGGTCTTTAGAAGTGGGAGGAAACCGGAGGACCCGGAGAAAACCCACGATTATGGACAGGCGACCCTACTCCTTGTCAGGTACAACCGGGAAATCGAAACCCCGCCAGTTAGCTAAATGAAAGACCTTATAAAACAACGCGCACGCGCTAACCTACCGGCCATTCAACACCCCTACAGGTAATTAATTTGACAGTATTTATAGAGTAGGTTGATCTGGAAATATGACGACGAAATGAACTTTTCAATAGAATTCAAAGAAAAAAACCCCCGAAGATCAGAAAGGCCATATTCACAGTGCTTATCTATTGCAAACCGCCCCTTTGCTTTGGCTGCTTTAGTACATAATATGCTCTACGTAACTTGGGTCTGTTTTGTGAAGAAGATCTTATAAATATGATACATGTCGTGAAGACTTATAAATATGATACAAGGACCGAGTGACATGTTTTGTAATGTACTTGGTTAGACTTCACTGTAGCACTAGTAATAAAATATCAAATACTAATTTATAGTGTACACGTTTAGTAAATAGTACCGGACATACCAATTTTGCTACTTGGTTAAATGAACATCAATTTGGACAAATGCAAACTAATACCATCGTTTCAAAGACCAAGTGCCTCCGAAGGAGGGAGGTTGGATGGTCCCGTGGTTTAACGCGTGTGCGTGAAATCATTAGGTCTGTCATTGATTCAAGTGGTTTTGAGTTCCTACTTGAACATGACAAAAGGTAGGATCGCCTTCCAACCTCGTGGATTTTCTGCCAGTCATCCGGTTTCCTTCCACGGCGAACGAACTCTAAGCACAAGTGAATCAGTGAAATAAGATTGAATCATATGTTAGTCCCGAAATGACATAGTTTTTTTCAAGTCCACACATCAACGTAGCAGTCGTTGAATAATATGTGCACACATTTCACTTAGTTTTTTGTTAACTGCACCTATTATGCCGTTGCGAAAACATTCAAGATATCTTTTTGGGAGAAACCTTCAATTGTTTCAAATTCTAAAACACAGGGGTGTAACCTGTAAGCAGAAAGGTACACCACTGTGGCTGTTGTTGCTTACAAATAAAGCAGCAATTGTCTTGCCCTGCACCACGGTTAGTGCTAAATGATAGGGCCAGCTCAATTTTTCGTCATAGACCACGAGATGTAAACAGGGCTAGCGCTAATCCCAATGCTTACCTTAACCCTAACATATAATTACGCCAAAAATCACGTTCCCTAACCTTATTTACATCTCAGTGATCTTAAAGTTGCAATTGCAAATTTTCAAGTTATATTTTTAAAATGTATTAAAATAAAGCCTTAAAATAGATGGTATCCATAAACAGTCCTACCTTGTTAAAGAATAATCCTATTAATCCTATAATTCGCTATTGCCAGCTGAGAAATTGGCAAAAATATCATTTTTAACTTCAAATTCCAACGTTGGAAAATGGCTGCCCCATGTTGTCAATAGCAAAACAGGGGAGGTAATTGTGTTGTTATTTCCTGTGTCATAGATTTTTAAGGGTGGGAAATAATGCCCATGATCGTATAATAGTGATTTGATAACCTATTGGGCAAAAAACATAGAAATAATTATGTTTTGACTTTCTTAGAAAATTTGAATGTCTCGCTTTAACTAAATTTGAGCTAGCGTTAACAAACAGATTTAGCCACCGTACCACTCAAGAGCCCGGGCTGTTGACGTCGGAGACTTCCGGTTTGGTTTGAAATTTTACTACATCAAATAAAGAAGTGGTCTAAACCTAACATATAATTACGCCAACGATCACGTGCCCTAACCTTATTTACATCTCAGTGATCTTAACAAAATTTGAGCTAGCCATAACAAATAGATTTAGCCCCCACACCACCCAAGAGCGCAGGCTGTTGACGTCGGAAACTTCCGGTTCTTTTTGAAATTTTACTACAGCAGATCAAGAACTGATCTAAGAAAGGCCTGCGAGTATGGTTGTTTTGAGAGGCCCCCTTTTACTTTTGGTGGAGGTGGGAACTTTTTAGACTTATATTAAAAGTAGTTAATTTGGGAGTTAGTAAGATTGTCACACGCTAAATTTGTGCTTAATCTAGAAAGATGAGGAAATACTCTTGAAAGTGCCATTTATAGTCAGTGTTTCATGATGTTTTAGGAGTGCGGGTCCGGCGCAGACAACGTCCACCTCGTCCCCACGCTGATCAAAGTTCAAAACGACATAGTGTAGTGAATTGATTGTCTCATCAATTCTGCATGGATGTGCATGACACAACGATACTTCCATTAATCAAAATTGTTTACGAACATTACGAATGAAGATATATTGCATCATTTTTCAAATCACCCTGGAAATAAGTATATAAGACTGCCCAGGATCGTTGGTCGTCAGTCGATCGACAGACTGCTTCTGATTCTACAAGAACCATGAAAGTCTTCATTATCGCAGTACTAGCTCTGGTGGCTTACACGGCTTCGGGTAACTATCTTTTATTTTCTTTTATTAATGGATAGCTTGTTTATCGTCAGTCCGTCCAGTCGATCTGCGATCTGTGTTTGCTGCTAATTTCTCAAACCGATTGAGACAGACTGCTATAGATTCTACAAGAACCGCAAAATTCTTTTTGTCATAGTTCCTGCTCGTATGGCTTACATCCCGTCAGGTAATTATTTTTTTTATTTGATTTCATTAACGGAAATGAAATGGGGTTTAACATCCTACTGTTCTGCTCCGACTGGGCTAAAGAAGGCGGGCATATACCATACAGTGTGCTATGAGGCTAATTTTTCCCAGACCGCGGCACTACCGCCTGCTCTGTCAAGGGATCTTTTACGTGCACGCCAATGTGTACCCGGTATCTCGTTTCTAGTCGTTCCATCCGCGCACCACTGACAAGTAAAAACTACGCCATAATATCCAGATAAACGTTTTCAGGCAACTCTGGGAGCGAACCCAAGACCTCCAAGCTACAGTGATACTGTAGCCCAGTGAGTGGATGTGCTGGTTCGCTAACCAGATCTCATATCACCCCCGGGGATTGCCCAGAAAGCTCTTTGGATTTTTTCCTGCAAGGTTTTCCCTCGTCCGTATGTAACAGCGTTCGGATAGGTAAAGAAAACCGAGATTCACTGTACTCTTTGGCGTGCACGTTTGCAGTAGCCCGACTGTCCTGGCTAAATTGCCATCATAATTGACAGTATAACGGGTCAGCAGTAACCCGATAGGTGCAGAACAGTAGGACGTTAAAACCACATTTCATTTCATTGTTGATTCGAAAAAGAACAGGAGGGCTCCACTCCCTCCCCAATACAAGATGTAATAAGTATTACGGATCATTTTTGAGTGGAAACTTCAGACTTACTTTATCGATTAACCGATGTGCGTTTTTTTTTAAAGATTTCAGAATCTATGATTTTATTTCTAACAGCTCTAATCTTACCTGACGTACATACAGTTTAATTTTGTTTCTAACAGCTTTAATCTTACTTGAAATACATACATTTTAAAATTGTCGATACGCCGTAGACATATTGTTTTGTGCAGAGCGGTTTTGCATACAAAGTTCAAGATTCGGCTTTGAAAAGCCTGTCTCTCATCGGACTGGCACGAAAAATTGTAGATATTCTTGGACGCGAGTCTAATATAATTACTATTATGTACCAGGAGTCGGGGTATACATCAGTTGGACTGGCTGGGCAAATGAAACCAGGCAGTGTAGTAGAGAACACCTTTATTACATAACAGCTGATGTACAAGTGATATATTCAAGAATGAGCTACCAGAAATAACTTTTCTGGGCATGCGCGTATATGTCATGCAATTGAACCAATCAATACATAACAATTACACCCAGACACAGGCATATTAGCGTGTCCACAGGCCTACGTCAGGAGGGGGAGGGGAAAGTAAGTGCCGCTAAGGTTCACCAAAATAAACCATAACAGAATCAAAATATGCACTTTTCACAGACTAGATGGCTTTGTTGTATCCTACTAGTCAGGGTGTTGTAAGTGCTTTTGATGGCCTGTCATTCAGTCAAGTGTTGATTATACGTGACGAGACGTAGAGTCGCCTGTCCAGCCCCGTGGGTTTTCTCATGGTCCTCCCAATGATAAGGATCTCTATGCGCAAGCGAATTATTGAAATAAACTCGAACCATGTGTTAGTCCTGAAATGACTTAGTTTTTTGTCGAGTGGACGTTAAACCCCATTTCTCTTTCTTTCTCTGCCATATACATTTGAAGAGGCCAGTGGAAGAACGATCTAAGTCACGTTTTTGTCTTTTTACATAAAAGGCAAACAGATTTTTGGACGAGAATGTTTGACGCGAATAGAACAACGGGTGGGTTTAATTACAACTTCAAAATGATGTTTAATACGAATCATAATTACCAGTACAACTGACTTCGATTTTTCAGGCAAATTAAGGTTAAATAAAGGGTACGATGGACTTGTATTTGTCCGGGAGGCCATTTCAGAAGGGCCTTGGTTCAATGTGATCGTTTTTACCTGAAATAGATTGTTCCACAGAAAGCTTTTACAATTTGCTACCAGATGGCGCCATAAACTGGGATTCGTTGAAAAAGTGACTTAGATCGTTCTTCCACGGGGCTCTTCATTTTGTATTAGGGCAAGTGGAGTGGGCGTTAAACCCAATTCTTTGCCTTTTCTCTTTCTTTCAAATTTCAAACATAATATTAAAGATACATTATGGGAGATAAGATAACTAGATGGCAGTTCTCGCTATAATAGTTAAAAACTAGATAGTGTAAAGGTTTATTTGCTGAAAATTTCAGTCAAATTGATCCACCATGAGCCGAGAAAGAAGCTCGTGGAATTTTGGCATAGTCTCGGTCATCATTACTAAAATCATTAATATAAACAGCAAGTCTCGATTATCCGCTTTTCTTGATTTAATTGTCAACGGCCGTTAGCGGCATATAGGAATCTAATCCAGCCAACATCGAAGGCTAGCCTTGACATCGAGAGTTAATTATGGTCTGGATAAGTTAATTAATGTCTGATTGATAATTTAGATAACATTTCAGGCCTAAAGAAAGACTTGTAATAAGCAGATTTTGCTCTTGCATAATGCATGTTTAATTGGCCGGAGTTGACCTCTTTGTACTAAGATGTATGTCATATACTGTACTGTTTGAGTTGAGTAGACGTTAAATTTCAAAAATGTTTTAATTGTCCTAAGTTGACCTCTTGTATTACTGGACTGTTTGTGTCGAGTGGACGTTAAACCCCATTAATTTTATGATATTTATGTTATATAGGAACTACCAGGCCAAGGATAATTATTGACACTGACTGGAGCAATTTTCTAGTGGTAAGTAAATATCCTTTTGCGAACTTTTATAAACTTGACCATTTCGTTACTTCTCATCATAAGGTTTTGTATATTTGAAGTCAATTGAGCAATACATACCTCTGCTTACTCCACCAACAAGAAAATATAATGGCATAGAGATAGAAATTACACGCCAATTCGGCACAGCTCGTGATCTGGGGTGCTGGTTGGCCGAATGGTTAATGCGTGCGCGATGGATCATAAGGTCTGTCATTGAGTCGCGTGGTGGGGTTTCGATTCCGCGCTTTTAAGTGACAAGGAGTAGGTTCGTCCGTCCAGCATCTTGGGTCACCCGGTTTCTTCCCACTGCTAAGCGAGATATTGAAATTCAACTGAAACATATGTTAGTCGCGCAAAGATCTAGTTTGTGTCGGGTGGACGTTAAACCCCATCTCCCTCTCTATCTCTCCCTCTGAGCTAATTACCTGACATCACATAACTTCCCATTCGCCCCGCGTACGTAATCGTCTAATATAACAAAAGTAAATTAAGAAAGATGGATCGTAACCATTGATCGAAATCGAGTACACCTAAAGATTCCTTGGCACTGGTTATTCTTAGAAAATTGGACAGAAACGCCACTGACATGTCTGGTAATAGTTCAAATTTAAAGTGTCTGGTGATAGTTCAAATTTAACTTATTAATTTGTTGTACTTCAGTGTAACAGATGGACCCAATTCTATGATCGTGACAACCCGTCCGGCTATGGTGATGAGGAACCATTGGGAAGTCTTCGAAGGGCAAGGCCCTATGATAATATCTGTGCAAGACCAGCTACCTTGGAATATGAAACCGTATCTACAAAAGCGTGTATCAACACAGGGGAAGTGATTACAGCATCACCGACCACCGGTTTTACATGCGTTAATTCTCGTCAACCTGATCAAAGGTGTAACGATTACAAAGTTCGATACTGCTGTCTAGATGGTAAGTATCATAGGTATTATATAAAGAAAAAATAACCATAAAATATCTGGCACTGAAATCAGCCATATTCGTTCATTGGACAAGATGGGGGCGTGGAGCTGAATAGAGACAATGTAAACATTTTCTTCCGATCGGAAGCGTTCAACTGAAATCAGAATATATTTATATATTGTTAGACCTTGGCTACTTATGGATCCTTGTTTGGGTATGTGACTTCGTGAATTATTAATAGAACTAGCTGATTACCCGACATTGCACGGGTAGAGTCATGCATTGAAAGTAGTAGTGCAACGTCAGCAGGCCCATATCATTCCCCGCCTCGTCGCCAAATGTCAGCCTCGTTACTATTCTCTATTTTCAGCCCAAGTCACATGTCCGAACGGATATGAATGGACCTACTTCTACGACCGTGACAACCCCTCAGGCACAGGTGATTCGGAACTATTAAAGCAGCTACGAGATGAAAATCCAAATGAGATTTGTGAAAAACCAATCGCCATAGATGTCCGTCGTCGAAGCAATGGCCGCGACTTTAGAACATGCGGCGAGAACGTCACTGTCTCTCCATCGTTCGGATTTCTCTGCTTAGATCGAAACCAGTATGATCACTATTGTGAAGATTACAAAGTCCGATTCTGTTGTCCTTGTGATAAATAAATATCTAAATGGATAACATGAAAGAATAAAAAATATTGCACAATTACCTCGTTCACTGTGTTGGAATGTCTGTAACTGAAACTGAGAAAGGGTTTTTAATATTCTCCCATTTTTATGAAACGTTGTTTACACGCTAGATCAGTGCTTCGCTTGGGACCAAAGTTCATTTTAAAAATCTCTCTGTGCCGAACTGATTTTGGAAGACTCCCATTTTCCATGATACTGTGTTTACACGCTAGACCAGTTTTTACCAAGTCCTATTCATCCTTGGGCCCCTCGGGTGTGAGTTTGGTACACCCGGAAAAGGTGGTTCCTCAACTCATAGCAAGATGATGGCCATAAACGCGACGCTGGTATTAGCTAATAACGTACAAATACCAAGATCTACCGGAAGGGAAACGTTTGCAGGAAAGTTCAAAAGAGCTTACTCGACACCATTAATCTCTTTATTATACTTAGATTTTTGACGTATTGTCGTCATCGGAGTTGAGAGATAACTAAGCTTTTGTTTATCTTTATATACGATTGCAGTTTGGTTCATTTCATATTAATATGGGGGGTTGGGTGGCCGAATGGTTAGCACGTGCGCGCTGTATCATAAGGTCTGCCATTGAGTCAGCTGGTGTGGTTTCGATTCTCCGGTTGTACGTGACAGGGAGTAGTTTCGCCTGTCTAACCCCGTTGGTTTTCTACTGGTACTCCGGTTTCCTCCCAATGAAAGACCTTATAATTAAACTGCTAAAGAACCCCTACACGCAAGCGAATTATTGAAATAAAATTGAACCTTGAGTTAGTCCCGAAATGACCTAGTTTGAGTGGACGTTAAACCCCATTTCCCTCCCTCACTATTAATATGCAGTATTGAAATGAAATGAAATGGGGTTTAACGTCCTACTTTTTTACTTCTCCTGGCTAATGAAGACATGCATTCACCTGTGCTTTGAGAAAAATTCTGATGGGACATTCCAACTGTTATGGCTACTATTTACCCGGGCACTAGTGCTACGCTCCCCCCACCCGCCAACCTGATTTTATTCAAGACAAAGTCCGGTGCCCTTACCCCTCTCGCCCCCACCCCTTGTATTCTATATAAGAATGATCACATAACAATGACACACCAACACCAGTTTTCATACATAAATTTCCTGAACAATTCTTTAGTGTAGGGAAACGCCCTTCATTGCCCCTCCTAGGAAATATTCCACTCACCTGAGAGATCATCTCAAGAAAGAGATAGACGAGCTGGATAATATCCGTATCACAGCGACTGGTGTAATAATCTTACATCCAGTTTAACGAAGTCTTCCGGGGGTCGGGTGTTCGATCCCTGCATTGGCAGAGAAAGTTCATCCAGATTTTCCGGCGTGTTTCTCCCTTGTTAGTGATGCAAGACGGAGGGCCTGACAAGGATAAAGTTACCAAAATTCTATGACGAGCTTCTTGGTCCGAAGCCACGCAGCATTGTTTGACAGTTTTCGGACACCGACCATCATTATATGGTCGACCGTTATATGGAATCGAAATATCTTTCAACTGACCGATGGTTAAAACATTTAAAGCTCTAAGTGCGAAACGTTTTTCGGGCATTAACATTTGTTTCATTGTTGAAATTCCTAATTTCATGTGAATGCAAGGGCATCAAGTCAGACGGATTGATTGACTTGTTGATGGGAGTTCATTTTCAGGCTGCTGTATTCGCGGGCTGAAATAGCAGGAAAACGGGTTTGGAGCCATCTTAATCTCAAATATTTCCTGGGAAGATACCACACTTATACCCCGACCTGGTGACCAGCTTCACAAAATACTTTGGGGAGATATCGCCCTCTTGCCCTTCGCTCTCGACCTGGTGACCAGCTTCACAAATTACTTTGGGGAGATATCGCCCTCAACTCTCGACCTGGTGACCGTCCAGAGCCCGGTCATTTCTCACCCCTCTCCCGCAACATCTGGTATCCAGTTGGACACAGATAGGGATTTCGGTTCCAATGCCGCATAAATAAGTCCATGATTGACAACTGCCTTGTCGCGTCCCTCACTGGTCTGAATTGCAGGAATAAGCGTTGACAATCGTCTAATTTCAAATTTGTTCTACGGGATGCATAACCACCTCCCCTTCAATACCACCCTATGCCAGCCGCATAGGACGTGTTTTCGGGCATTTTCATTTCTGCTCCCGTCCCCATCCCCAAAGCTGATCAGACATGTACGCCTATGACCTGCTGGTATTCTTGTCCTAGGAGGTTAGTGGGAAGAGCGGGGGGGGGGGGAGGGGCTTCATGAATTCTAGTGCGATCGACAAGGAAATTTGCATGCTCATGCAAGGAACAACAGTGATTTGTCGTTTCATGACAGTGATGACGTTATGCTCGTCTCCTGGTTCACATATTGCGTTCGTACTTGTTACGAAACTTTATACCACGGTATTAAGTTCGACAGCTGATACCCGGTGACTGAACGTGGAAGTGGTACTACTTAATATTACTTTGAAGACCGATGTGGATCTATTAGACTTGCTGAAAACACTGATCTTTATATACAAACAAATCTGATAGCTAGCTAGCTTTATTTCTCAATCTTAATCAATGCATGATTCTGTTCGTTTAATAATTATTGGGACAGCAGAAACGGATTTTGTAATCCTGGCATTGTCCATCGGGTTGCTGTGCATCTACACACGAAAAGCCAAGTTCTGGAACCAGACATACAACCTCGCCGGCTGTGGAGTAGTCGTGGCCGGTACGTGTAACACGGACGTCAATAGCTACTGGATCTGTACATACACGGGCATAGGGGTAATCCTTGTTGATTTCCGACAACGTCTCGTAATCACCAGTTCCAGTAGGTCTGTCACGATTATAGTACCTGGTCCAGCGATATCCAGTGGGACAGGATGGGTTGACTAGACAAAGAACAGAATAAAAAACCACAAATAAAATGGGGTTTAACGTCCTATATTTCTGCTCCGACTGGGCTATTGAAGATTGGCATACGTCATGCAGTGGACTATGCAGGCAATTTTGCCCAGACAGCGACGCAACGGTCTACCTTTATAACCCAATCTTGAAGGGCTGGTGATGGCAAATTTATGGTTATACTTTGAAATCGAGGGAGAGAGAAATGGCGTTTAACATCCACTCGACTCAAACTATATCATTTCGGGACTAACACATGGTTTATCTTTTTTTATTTCAATAATTCGCTTGTGCGTAGGGGTCTTTAGCAGCGTGAGGAAACCGGAGAACTCGGAGAAAACCCACGAGGTTGGACAGGCGACCCTACTCCTTGTCTCGTACAACCAGGAAATCGAAACCCCGCCAGATGACTCAATGACAGACCGTACGAAACAACGCACACGTGCTAACCATTCGCCCCCACCCCTTACCCACTTCAATAACCCAACTAATTCAAGTAATAAATTGTTAGCGCCCCCCATTCTACTTGACCAACTGCCGGTATATTTCAATTGATTGTATTCACAAACATAAACATGAATTTATATTAGTATGGCTTCAAACTGTAATAGACACATTTTAAAGATGCATTATGTAAGAGATAAATCTCCCTTTTGCAGGTCTTTATTTTGACTTTAAACATTATATAAATCTATTATTTAAACATTCATTAACATGGCAAGCCTATATTCAACTCTCTGAACCATCAGATGGCGCCGACCTTAAGTAGATTAGAGTGATTCAGACAATTAATGATTTCATTTGAAAATGGAGACAAAGTCCCGAATAACAAGTACCGTTGTTACGATACTAAACAATCAATGAACACACCTTGCCTAAACTACAAACAGTGATTACTTCGCTCAGAATGAAGTAATTTGAATGAAATTTTGAATATATTCATTTTGCATTATCTATTTTTAAACTATTATAGCAAGAACGGCCAGTCCTGTATCTAAATCTTACATAATGTATCTTTAAATAGTAAGAGGTGGTTATTGAGGAACTATTACATAATGTATCTTTAAACTATTATAGCCAGAACGACCAGCTCTGTGTCTAAATCTTACATAATGTAAGAGGTGGTTATTGGGGAACTATTAAGTCTGTACTCACGATAATTGCAGCAGTATCGACATTTGTAATCTTCACACTGGTGATCAAGTTGCAAGTAATTGAAACATGTCAAACCATAAGTAGCAGCAATCGATACATCGTCCCGAAAAAGTCCCGTGAGACGTCTACAATTTACAACTTCCGGTGAAGCACAGATCTGTCCAGGATTTTCTTGTCGGTGAAGAACAAGGAGCTCAAAATCTCCAATACCCGTTGGCTTGTCTCGGTTGAAAAACGGTGTCCATTTGTTACACATCGGACAGTGATTAACTGCTTCGGCTAAATAAACAAAGATAAACAAAAAGATTCAACACATCCTTCAAATAATCAGAAAAAATATTTGATTGAGCAGATAGGACTCCAACCAAACTATGACGTTAATAATGAATCTGGAGATCAGGAAAAAGCTTGAATTCTCCAATTGCCGAACGGTCATCCCAGTTGTAATACCCAGTCCATGGATTATTATTGTATTATATTCTTTTTTAAACAAAACTAAAATTATGTTATATTTTGTATATACGTCAAGTTTGTGTATGTCTGATAATTTTGTTTTACGTGTTGTCTATGCTGTTGCCGCCATATCAAACTGACCGAAGGTTCAGCGCTCGAGAGGGGGGGGGGGTAACGGCCACTGTACACAAACTAGGTCATTTCGGGATTAACATATGGTTCAATTTTATTTCAATGATTCGCTTGCGCTTAGGGGTCTTTAACAGTGGGAGGTACACCTGAGACCTCGGGTCCTACTCAAGCGACAAAGGAAAACCATAACGGAAAATCACAATGAACCTTCCAGACCATCACCGGGATCGAACTCGCGACGCCTTGGTTAGTGGGCCAATGTCTTACTCACCGAGATCCCGTACTATAAAGAACTAAATGAACGATCAATGGCGATCATGTTTTAATTACTTTGTAAACAAGACTACTAAACAAGACTACTATGTAAATATGTATAGATTGTTGTATTTTA